AACAAATAAATATGATCGCAGTATATATTTTAATAAACTTGAGATATTAAGTATATTTACATCAAGTACCTCTCCTGTTTTGAATTTAATTTGCCAGGCGTTTCCGGAATCGACGGATCGGATAATTTAAATAAAAACCAGAATGTCGTGATATACAGTTGTATACACCTATCAATATACATTTTAATAGTAATTTGCTAATAATACATGCACCTCGCGAGATTTATGCGAGAATATTTATATACTAGTTTGAAATATATCGCACAATATCAAATCGCGACTTTATATTAATTAGCCGTTACACGACTTTCATCAATTCCGACTCGAGAATCATTAACGACGGCGACGTAAGTTGGTAAATCCCGATCATGCTGCGACCCTTCTTATTCTTATAGATATTGTAACAGAAATCGCCGAGGTTTTCACGCGTTTGTCTTCATGCAGATCAACGACAGCATATGTGACCGAACCGCGGCAAGGGTTATAACATCGTTGTTATAACTTCGGCGCAAATCAGGCCGTGTAAACGTAGTCAATATAAAAATAATTCCAAATTATTTTAATCCGTTTAATATATATTTCCTGTATTTTTTTTTCAATGATTATCAAAAATTTATTTATGTTGTACAGATTTGAAAAAATGCTTGTTGACATTAAATAATAATATAATAAAGTAAATAAGATAATAAAATTTACTTGGCAACACTAGATATCGCCAATGCGAATTTTATTACTGCTTTGCAGCCTAGGCTTGCTCGTCCACTCGTTAATCGACGCTATCATCATACGCTTCAGCGATTCCGCTACATCACAATCAGTCACAGTTGATACGTGATTAAGGCAACATCTGTATATCTGACCAAGTGCCACTTGTCGTTCGAGAATAGCAACATGACTATCGTGTTGGTGTTTTTGATTCTCGGAGCGCTTATAGCCCTTTACTATTATCTGACGCGAAATTATAAGTACTGGCAAAGACGTGGAGTTCCGTGGATGGATGGAGCCCTGCCGGGGTTCGGACACATGCTGTCGGTCATATGCTTGCGGACGGATGCCGCTGATTTTTATAACAAGATTTATAAGGACAATAAAGGTCGAAGTATGGTAGGGATTTACGAGTTGATGTCACCGTCGCTGATAATCCTCGAGCCGGAATTGGTGAAAACAGTGCTGCAGACCAATTTCTCAAATTTCTCCGCGAATACCGTTCATGTCGACCCCGAAGTGGATCCGCTCTTATCATATAATCCATTTTGTCTTACCGGCGACAAGTGGCAAAACAGCAGAAAGCGTTTGACCTATGCATTTTCTAGTATGCGATTAAAAATCCTGCTGGAAAGTGTCAAATTGGTGTGCGCGACGATGGAGAAATATATAGATGGAAAGATGAGTAACGTCGAGAAAGCGGAGTTTGAGCTGAAGTCCTTGTTCTCCAGATACACCGCCCAAGTAGTAGCCGCCGCTGGTTTCGGCGTGGATGGATACTGTTTCGATGACGAGAAAAAGGATATATCTTTCCGAAAACTCGGACAAGCCATTTTTGAGCCGTCCACGCGAAACAAAATCATGTTCACTTTCTTATTCCTCATCCCATCGTTGAACAAAATTTTTAAAATGAGTTTTATTCCGAAGAGCGTAGACCATTTCTTCAGGACATTGGTTGCGGATGTCATGGGTCAAAGGAGAAAAGATGGTATACCTAGGAACGATTTTCTTCATTTGATGGCCGAACTGGAGAGAGCGGAGGGCAAAAAATTCGACACTGAAATGCTCACGGGACAAGCGCTGTCGTTCTTTATCGATGGCTATGAGACCTCTAGCACTGTCATGAGTTTTATTGGCTTCCATTTGGCCAGTTATCCGGAAATACAAGAGAAATTACGCGAAGAGGTATTGTCCGTGCTTAACAAATACGACGGTGAAATCACGTATGAAGGTTTGAGGGAGATGACATACATGGACCAAGTCTTCAACGAATCGATGAGAATGGTACCCGTAATAGTACTCATAAAGAAACGATGCACGGAAGAATTTGAATTGAAAGGCTCGGATGGAGTTGTTTGTCGCGTGCAACCCGGAACGAAGATCATGATACCGGTACAAGCTTTGCATACAGATCCTGAATACTGGGAAAATCCCGAAGAGTACAATCCTGAAAGATTCAGCTCGGACAGGAAATATAACATAGAGAGATTCGCTTATCTTCCCTTCGGCGAAGGTCCGCGAATTTGCGTGGGGATGAGAATGGCCCAGCTACAGATAAAAGCAGGTCTGGCTAGAATTCTGAAAAAGTACAGCGTTGAACTATCCCCGAGGACGCAAATACCTTTAAAGATGATTCCTGGAACCATTCTACCAACACCAAAAGGTGGTCTGTGGTCCTACTTTAGACGTCTTTGAGCTCGAATATTTTCTCTTAAATTTTTTCCGAGTTTTTTCGTCATAAATAATTTTTTATGTTCAATAAAAAAATTTATG